TTGTCTACTGTGCTTCTCTCGTTCCGGCCAGCTGTGGCGTAACCAAACTTGAGTTGAGTTATGGGGGGAGGGGGGATGTTCGCTCTTCCGCCGCAGTCAGAAGAGAAATTATTGTGGCTGCCTGGAGAAAGGGGAGATGGGAGGATGAGGGGATAGGGAGGATGTTCAACGAAAACGGAACTGGATGCAGAAAATGTGTCTGCTGCAATCATAATTAGATCACTGCTATCTATTGACGCGTACGCGCTTGCTGTCCTTCGCTGGCACGATCTTTCGCGGCGGAATCTCTCCCGGTATATCATCGTTTGTAATCGGAGATTTGTTGCGACCGACAGTTCCAGAACCGCTCTTCTCTGTGGCCCTAATGATATGCATTCACAGCGAGAGGGCACGGAGTCCATTCGGTTACTAGCACTTTTTCATGTTTAACTTCCTTTGAGCAATTTTTCATGGCCTTGCCTCGGCACTATAAATATAAATAAAGTTTCAAGTGCCTCTTGGGAACACATAAGCCATCTGGGCAAGTTTTGCGAAAATGACTGAAGTATGGGCAGTATGAGTATGGGCTTGAAGGCCCAGAAAATGATGATACCTATAAAGGCCGTGGGGGTCATGTTGACCGGCGGCGTTTTCTTCTTTCGTTTCCTTCCTCGTTTTCTTCCTCCTCATTCCTTCCAGAGGGGCACGTGCCCTCCCCCCCCCCCCCCCCTTTTATTTTCGCAAAACTTGCCCAGATGGCTTATGTGTTCCCAAGAGGCACTTGAAACTTTATTTATATTTATAGTGCCGAGGCAAGGCCATGAAAAATTGCTCAAAGGAAGTTAAACATGAAATGCACGAGGACTGAGTCCAGGGGTCTGTTCCTCGCCTCTGCTAAACTTAATCTAAGTCTACAGGGTTGTTTGGTTGCTATGGTAATGAACTAACAAGATGTTCCAGGGATGACTTTTATTATCTCAACCACAAATCATGTTTGATTTGATGCCCCTGCATCCTAACATTAGCCTGACATCTCATTTTCTATTGTAAGTGACTCATCCTCAGTAAATCTAGAGGTATCCCCTCCCACTCTTTCTTGCAAGCGTTCCAGAGTCCATTTATCCCCTTCGGCCGTCTTCTTCCAAAGCGTCTCTTGAGGAGACCAAACTCACAAAAATCCATGGTTTACGCATCGGATTTGGAATGGGATGAATTTCGATCGTCTCCGCCATCTTCTTCGGGAAAGGTCTTGTTGAAGCAGAGGTGTGGCTGGAGGATTTGTCTTGATGGACCTCGACGAGAGCGGTGGCACTTTAATAAAGCCTGGGAATATCCTGCTCTTGAGGAGATTTTCAGACACGATCCTGATACTATTGACAGTTTGTTTTCACTTTCGGTGGCACTTTTCTCATCGCCATTTTGGCGCTATAGCAATAACAAGCAACGACCATTAAATCTTTGGGAAAAAAAAGTTTATTTGCATTCGTAGTACCACTTCTGAAAATGTTCTTCACCCCAGGAACATAATGAATGGCCCTAACCTTGTTGCAGTCATTCAGGTGAATACAGGCTTCATCCAATGGTGCCATATATTTCCATTTTTTCTGGAGAGATGGCGTTCATAGAACTTTCGGGCATTGGTTTTGCGCTCTTGAATGTGATAAAAAAAAAAGAAAAATAGGACATTTTTGGTCTTTGACGCTTTTTGCGATACCCCAGTTCGAGCCTTCTCAACTTGGTTGAGATCATTATGGACCCCGTCCACTAATACGCTTAATCCTTTCTTCTTCCAGCTTCTTTACAATGGCAGAATTTTAATAGTCAACGTCGGAAAGTGCAGTGATATAGCCTGCCAACAAAGGATTAATTTTTCACGATATTTTGACTCGTTAAACTGAAATAACTGACTGGTTAGAAACACAAGATGTACATCCAGGTTGTAAGCCCGTAGGAAAATTAATTTTTTTCGCCAGGACGGGCGCAGTGCTGTGTGAAAATCGTTACCATAGGAACCAAACAACCCTCTGTAAATCTAAATCTAAATCTAAATCTTAGTGCAAATCTTAGTCTAGTTCTAAATCTTTTGCTTTTAGGCTGCTTTTAGAGTAGATTAAGTTCAGATTTAGATTTAGATTTAGACTAATATTTAACAGAGGCGAGAAACAGGCCCCTAGAGTTCTCGTACCCTTCCCACTTTTTCGATCCACGCTTCGGTCATGATGTTGACCTCCAAAACCACGTTAGACTCTACAGTACATCTCGCTTGCTTAGCCCACTATTAGTGTAGCCTCTCTTGAAAAAAAAATGAAATCACCTTTCAGACGTGGTTCAAATTTGTTTATTATTATCAATACGTTCCTGGAAGGGGTCATTCTGACTCCTTCGTCTTTCAAGGGTTAAAAGGCGGTGTTTTATTTCACTTGGTCCATACCCTGCAGAAAGCAGCTCGTCCGAGCTCGTTCCGCACTTTAAAGTGCGGAACGAATAGATTCCCAAGTAACAGTATGTTGATGAAACGTTTCCGAAATGTTGCCTATGTTGGTTACTCTATGTTGTAAGTGAACAACATTGATAAGAGCATTGATAACAAGAACAACATTGATAAAACATTGCTTCAACGTGTTTCCCTTTTGAGCCCTTGGAATGCTGCTGGACCACTTCTACGAATGTTATTGCAACATTTGTTATCAATATTGAAAGAACGTTGACACTCTTGACATTGACAACGTTGCGACATCATTCAAATGCAACATGGACTTGGAAGTTTTAGGTAACTGTAAAGTTGTTCTCCATGCCACGAGATGGAGGCGAAGGTCTCGCTTTTTGAACAGTACACAAAAGTATCTCCTCCCTTTCCCTGGAATCGTCCGTCACGGGAATGTTTAGTACCTTGCCATTTGTCTCACCGAGTCTCATTTTAGGAATCAATGAACACGGACACGGACACTTCATCATTTGTTATCCTCATATTCGAGACAGATTCATGGAGCCCAGGCCAAAAACAAGCCCATATTCTCAAGAATTACCCTTCCCAATAGCTACAGGTTATTGAAAGCACAGGTCGAGAGTCTGTGAACTTATCCCATCATTTCCTCATTCTGTTCTCAGGATGAGGAAATGAAGGGCTGAATTCGTGGACACTTCATAGAACTCTGTGGGTGGACCATTCCCTGAAATGTGCCAGATTTAGCGCATTCAGGGCATGATACAGGTACGGTATCATGCATGGGCAGGGGTTATACTATTACAGGCTTCGTCCTGTTGATGGGAACGTCTGGGTAAGGAGTGAAAGTATATGAGACAAAATGATGAAAGAAATAATTCGATATTGACAGAATATCGGTTCCATTCAGGGCCAATGAAGCCTATGCTTTTCCGGGTAGTAATGCCAATATAGGTCCCGATTAAGCGCCAATGAGGCAACGTTTTCCATCAACATTGCAGCTACGTAAGTCCTGAAACGTTTCTGCAACGTACATGTAATGAATATGTGACGATTTGCAACATAAATGCAATGTTCTTTTGGAACATTCAAGCAACGTTGATGTTTTGCACATATGCACATAGAAGCAACATTGTTCATCGACATTTCCTTAACGTTGCTGGAATATCTTCTGTTACTTGGGTTACCGCTGTAACGTTGTTGGTAAGATCCTGAATCAGATGAAGTAGATTCAATCGAGAGTAGGGTGGAGGAAGAATGAGGAGGAATAAAGCGCTTTTAAAGATAGGCACACCTCAACTCAACTCTTGGAGGTGCTTACAGGGTGTCCCACGAGCCCACGAGTCACTATACCATTTAAAAAAGTCACACCTACTAAATAGTTCCCATAAAAAAGTAACATGAACTGTATTATAGCATTATAGCATTTGGAGTTACCTTTGACCAAAATAGAGGCAATTCTGAGATTTTGAAATTGCCTCAAAATGCTCTCTGCCAACACCAATACATTTGGCATGAGACTTGGCACCAAAAAATCGCCTAAACTCACGTTGAACTCTGACGAGACTCTCAAAGACCTCCATCCAGGTGGAAAATTTTCTTCGTTGCTCCAGCGTCAATTGCCAAGCCTTTTCTCATGACCGCAAAAGCAAATTTTAAAATAATAATAATAATTCCTTTTTTGTTTCGATGAATCGTCCTAAATAGGTACATCTTTCCAATATGCATTCGAAGCAATTTTCGTTTGAGTCTGAGACTCAGTCATTATCGTGAAAAAAATTATTAAGACGTTCTTTCCATCAATGCTAACAACAGTGACCTGCTTGTTGCAATTTAGAAAATATTACTGTTTGAAGTGGTATAGTGACTTATGGGACACCCTGTATAAAGAGACTAAGGCTATTTATCAGCCTGACACTGATCAGGGCAGCTTTTGCGCTTTATCGCTTGATCCCATTGAGAAAAGACTCCCCTCTCCCCCATTATAGCGTCCACATCGGGAAACACCATCATCATCACAGTGGATACCAAAAGCACAAGGATAAGCACACTCATCATCTTTGGCACGATCTTTCTCCAATAATCTATCATCAGAAACCTTCCCACAAGTGCGAAGAGTTCAACTTCCTCTCCTTCTTCCATCTTTGCACGCTTAGCCTTGATCCAGATTTTTGTTTGCATATCCGGCAGGAATTCAGGGAGCGGGAGCAGTGGCGGTGCAGGGCGATGATAATTTCCTACCATTGTCTCTATCATGTTTCTTTTGTTTTTTTTTTATTTCCCTTGAGAATAATTGAGCAATAAAACGTCATCATTCCGTCCACTTATACGTCGTCGTCAGCTGTGTCCATCATGGCCTGTCTGTCGCGCGTTTCCGCATGAGTCTGGGGGGGATTGTGGTTAATTTGAGGAAGTCGGGAAGGAAACGACCTCAAGGAGCTTTCTGTCTGAATAATAATTTATGCAGAGAGAGGAAGAGAGAGAGAAAACCACGAAGCGTTATAATTACTGGAAGTTGGGAAAGGAGTTGAAGTGAAGTGTGTTCAGCCGCGAGTATAAATAACGAGGAAGGTGGGATGGGATTCAGTCAGTGACAATCCCCCTTTCATCTTGTCCTACGCGGCACGCGTCTCATTTTGTGACAGTTGACTCCTGCTTCTGCCCGTTACGTTCTCTATAAGCAAGGTGAGCACATTCACTTCTTATTACATCCTGAATTTTTGAAAGAAGTGCCTCCCTTTGAGGAAAATGAATATTCTATTACGAAGACCGAGTAGCCTACTGCTAGAGGTATATGATTAAGGATAATTAAGGGTATGCCATATTTGTACTTGAGGCTACTGGAAGCCAATGTATTGTATATTGATGGTATTTCGGAGAACATCTGATTGAGACCACCTCAATTCAGTCTTGTATTTTCAAGACACGTCGAAGAGTGCCCTTACTTATGTGTTGATACTGTATATACAATGTCTACTCCCATGTTGGGGACTTTTCTCCATTCGTTTTGGCCATCCCTTACGCAAGAAAAGACCTCCGGATCAGCAAAAGTTGGATGATCCGAGCACTTATTCCCGATGTGTTCGTGATCCAATTTTCAAAACTAAGTGCACGAGGTACTTCTGAAGAAAATAATATAGGCTTTAAGGCGTTCGATTGTCAAATATGCTCTGGAATCTGGAGTTAGGTCTAAAAGTATTTCCCAACACTTTGATCCATGCGGAATCCCCCCGACCCGCTGATGGAGATATGGCTGACTAGGGGAATCCTAACAAACATGAGAATGTTCGAAAGAAAATTTCTGTGCTGTAGATGGAGAAGAAGTGTTCAGCAATCATCTTTCTCGTCCTGTTCCTGCTTTCGCTGGCTGCTGCGAAGCCTTCTTTCGGGTTTGTCTCCTTCCTCAACCCCACTTTTTTTGCTTCCTGTCGAACCAAACGGCATATTCATGTTCATGCGAATCTTGCTCACGATACGGTAGATATGGGAGCAGCAGCAGTAGCAGCAGTGGAGGGTTCGGTGGATTTGGTGGGGGTTACGGTGGATATGGAGGATATCGGGGAGGATATGGTGGCTATCGAAGACCCTACGGCGGATATCGAGGAGGGTAAGTATCAGCACGTTCATTTCATTTTTTTATTGAACAATATTCGTCCAGAAATATAATATACGTATTTCTTTTTCAGGTACGGTGGCGGGTACGGTGGTTACGGTGGCGGTTTCGGAGGTGGCTATTGGTGAAAAGCACAGTGTTCCACCGAGATCATGAAAGATTCACGTTTTTGTTATAATCTCTCACAAGTTTCTTGTTCCGTAATTGCACTTCTTTGAAAACTGTGGAGAATAAAAAGTTAAACAGCTGTGCATTAGTTGAGAAATTCGTAATACTTCCCGCGTCGAATGATTCTGCTGGTGGGGACGATGGGACTGGGTGGGATGTCACGACTTTGACTCTGACTGTCACACAGAGGGAGATTCCGCAAGATCTCTCTCCTCAGCCTCAGGAATTCCTCGAACGCCTCTCTCCATTCCGAGTCTGACTCTCTGTCTCTCGTTCCAAGTCCATCCTCACATACGCACCGTATTCTCTCTGATCCCTTCCCGTCTCTATATGGAAGAGTCCATCAATCACGAATTAAAGAAAAAATTATGCGAATTCAACCTCATCAATATGCTATGCAGAAAACTTATAAACGAGATTACGAAAGAAAAGCTAAACAAGTCAGGAAGTACAATGAGGTGTTCCCGCTCTCAGTCTCCCGAGGGGAGGGAGATTGTATTCTGTCTAGAGACGAGGGGGGGGGGGGGGAAAGCAGGCGACCTCTAACCAGCCAGTATGCCACTCGACCCTATTCGCTCTCGCCGCCTCTCACCCTCACTTTAGCTTTCCTTTTCGTTTAAATTGTTAAAAACTAAATCCAAACTAAATCTATTTATATCTCTATTCGGTCTTTGAACGACGACTATGCCTGTTCATTGGACAACTTTCCATCGTTTCGGAGAAGTTTCCGAACAAACTCTACCAAATATTCAATAGAAACGAAATGTATGTGATTTTTGCATATTGTAGAACGCACCTAAGCAAAAAGCTTACAAGCCCGGCTTCAGTATTCCTCATCACTATGCCAAACATTATCACTCAATTCTTTACTATCCGATATTTAAAAAAAATAGGAAAATTCATCTGTACGAAACCAGCCTTCCCGCTTTTGCTCTTCCCCATGTCGGTGAGGAGATCCAGAATGAATCCTTTCGAAATGCCTTCTTAGTCGAGAAAGAGAATGAAATGACCTGAAGATTACTCCTGGCTCGGGGATCCCTTGTCCTGACGTGGCCTTTACATCCGTATTGGAAGGTTTCTGTGCTCCGGGATCGAGGTCTATCTTCCTCCACCAGTGCCCCGTCTCGTCCCTGGCCTCGGCCGACGCCCATAATACCATCTGTGCACATCATCCGCAAAGAGATCGTTATTCCCTCACGAGCCATGAGAAGGGGAAAAGAAGACTCAGAATCCGCCAGATTCTTACCAAAACGAAGAGGAGTCGAGGATGGAATGTCATGCTTGCGCACTGCACAACGGAAGGATGGCCCATGCAGATGAAAACCTGGACATTTATAAAGGACATTGTTCGTCCGCGTTGCGACACAGGTGCCAAAGGATCCGAAGAGGAAGAAGAGGTCAAGGAGAGGAGACACAGGGAGTGAATCTTATTCTGGCTCCACCGGCAGACCGAGTCCGATCTCATTTATCAGAATTATGACCGGATGGGTGACTCCCTAGTGACGATTGTGTAACGCACGAGGCCTCGCCGAAGAAACGGGAGAAAACGAACGTTTAGGGACGGGGTTTCCTCTTCAGGCAGAGATTGAGAGGGCAGAATTTGACGAGGCAGTCTCTCCCAGGAGCGCAGATCCCCGGCGGGAGGATCTGGCAGTTCCCCAACGATCCACCTGCTCGTATCCCAATCCGTTCTCGCATCACGATCCATCCTCTCGACCGTAACCCGCTTGAGCAGTGCTTCCCAAGCTTTGTTCAACCGGCGTGGAACCTCTAAGCCGTTGGGAGCTTCTGCCTCGAAGGACGATCCACGTTCGTCCGAAAATGGATTCGAGACTCACTGCCGATGAGAACGACGACGACGACGAAGATCCATCGGAGCACGAGACCGAGGGGCTGCATCTTCTCCCGTAGACCCACCTGCACCACGGATGCCACTTTTCACTTTCCGTATCGTTCGGACGGTAGTGTGAGGAACGAAGAGACCCACTTAGGGTTTCGTCACGTGAAAGAAAGAGAAAGCGAGAATAGACCTACTTTTCGATCGCCGAGACCGACACCCGCCGAAGTTCGCAGGGATCTTGGACGTTTCCTATATTCAAAGGAAAGGACCGTGGCGTCTACTTTCTTCGCGATCGAGAGGCATAGGATTCGTGGCGACGGCAAACGTTAGCTCTCCAAAGGAGTCGCGGAATCGGAACAAAGGAATTCTTTCTGCTTCGACTCGAGCCCTTCCGACGACGCGAACTCGCGTAGCCCGAAAACGAGAGCAAACCACTGGAGACTATGACAAATTTGGACATACTCTCACTTAAGCAGCACGATTGCCGGGAAATAAAATTATTTTAATGTCAGTGACGCCAACCGTCTGAAATGATTTCTCCATGCATGAGGACATCATGAAATAACGGGTGCAGTTTTATCGCCTTTCTCCTTATCTTGCATAGCTTACCACGTTCATGGGGACATTAGCAAATAATTCTTTTTACAACCCCCATTCTATATCACTTTTAACAGGACATCGTTTCCATATTCGTGGACGTCTCAACCATCAGAATTGAATGAGAAATGGTGTACCCTACCACTCTAGTCAGTCTCGTATCTCGTGAATGTTTTCTTTCGATATGTCATCCTCTGGTAGCCATAGGTGAGGATCTTTCTCATCGTTTAATTTAATATGCAAAGAAAGATTTTTGGAATCGTTGCAAAAGCACTGGAATGCACTTCTGGGAGAACTAACTTAACCGTGGAACAACAGAAGTTCTTCATCGGCACGATATTGGTTACTGCAGCTCCTAAAATTGCTAGTCCACACGTGTGGACATGCTCCATTGAGGGAAAGCACATTTGAAGATCGTACATGTCCTGGGAGAGCGTGCAGCCTCTGGCTTTGAGGCACGTGTCAGTGGCTCTGGACACGATGCTTCGATCTTCCTCTTATAAGGGATCTCTTCTCTTATTTTTCTCATGGTTTGGAGGTACGGTGCATGATTCATCCACACGTAGAGGTTCTTGCGTAGTGATAGGTATGACTCATATTGGAATGTGAATAAATAAGATATAGGATAAAACCATCTGAGTTCGGACACCATAAAATAAATAGTTATATAACTAAGAATTCGCGAGGCCACCCTCAGAAACAGCTCTTCCTGGCAGCGAAGGTTTGTTTCTGAGGGAGAGCTCACGATGCTTCATTTTGCAAAAATGTGCGTTATAGTGTCCGAACTTAGATATTTTCACCCCCTACTTTGATCATTATATTAGACATTTTTAATCGCGGTACAATCTCAGAATAAAATTAATAACCTGCATTTGCATATTTCTCAGAATTTTGACATTCAGAAGTATTGATACGTACTGTAATGGCCAGTGGTCTGTAGAAGGAGGAGTTGGATGGGACGAGAGGACCAAGGAATACCAGGGAACGGCAGTGACTTGAATTCGGGCCTCCTGATTGTCGGTCAGGTGTGCGACCACTTCACCAGCGAACCTGGGGCATTCAATCGTCTCTCTCCGTGCCATCCCTAACACTACAGTACTGTTAATACGTATTACATGATGTCTAAAAATGTGGACCTGCAAGTTTAGGAGTTGCGGTAACCAATAACGTGTCGATGAAGAACTTCTTGTAGGGTAAGTTAGTTCTCTCAGAAGTGCCTTCCAGTGCTTTTGCAGCAATTCAAAAGTTTTTCTTTGCGTATTAAATTAAATGATGAGAAAGACCTATGGCCACCAGAGGTTGACGTATCGAAAGAAAACATTCACGAGACACTAGAGAGTGGCAAGGTACACCGTCTCTCATTTTATTGTTAGTTGAGATGTCCACGAATATGGAAAATGAAGTCCTATTAAAAGTGATGCCGATTGGGGGCCGTAAAATAAATTTTTAAAAATGCCAAAAAACGTGGACACTGTAGCAAAGAGTTAATGCGTTTATCGAGATTTTCTCTGGAAGATTTTTCTTCCCTATCACGTGAACTCAGAGAAATCGGTAAATCGAAATGATACACTTTGGTCAATTATCGCATTTCGATTAATTTTTCCCAAGAGGAAAAGGCATCGACAAGGAATCGCGATTCGTGAGTCTCTTCTCAACTGTGCCGGGTCGCTTGAAAGGCGTCTGCAAAACCAAAATGGTTCAAACTGAAATGCGTCTACAGCCGAGTCGAGAGGGGGGGGGAGAGGGCGGGCTTGAGTGGCCGCACATCGCCTAGACCTGGGGTGCACAAAATACGAACCGCCATGACCGGTGGCGTCGTAAGTGCTACAATGGCTCACCGTGGCTCCTGCCCTGTTGGCCGCAGCTACGGTCAGCCGGACTGCGGCCCGCGGTAGGTGAGTAAAATTCGGAAATGGCCCTCACTACCCAGGAGTTGTGCACCCCCGGTCCCGACGCATGTGAACTTCCGTCTTCCACTCGATCGCGTCGGAGAAGACCCCCTCGTGAACCCACGAGGCAATGGATGGGATGTCGAGGGGTTGACACTCGAGCGGGTGAGAGTGCATACGAGAGAGAGGTCTGTTCGCCCTCCGGCCCGTACGAGTAGCTCGTGCGTCTCGTCTCCAAGGGGATTCTAATGTCATCGCTTCCGTCATTTTCCGAATCCATTTTCATCAGGTGTTTGTATTTGGTTTCGCGTATCGGTGGTGCAGTACGTATCGCCAGTAGATGAAGCGTCTAAGCGTAAAAGCCTATGACGTTCCCTCGATAGGTTCATTTGACGTTAGAGCATTCGTAGCCTGTCGCCTCGAAGGAGTAGGTGCTTCCGCGCCTTCTCTCGGTCGCAATCACCTCTCCTATTAATATATCCGCTTTCGCATATTTCTATTTCAGCGATTAAAGGGAGAAAAAATTTTCAGTCTTCTCCATGGCCTCTGAACAGTCATCCGAAGAAAATAACAATTTCCGCCCCTTCGGGCTGTGAAAAAACTGAATAATAATAAAAGAAACAGATTTGAGTAGATGCATGAATTTGCCCAGGAAACCGCCATCAAATCGATGCATTTTGGGCGTGGACATATTTTTTCATATTTTTTCACGCCCAAAATGCATCGATTTTATGCATTGAATATTCCGTATGTAGGAGTCCTTCTGCCGACGGACGGCAAGGACTGGGGAAATCCTGCGCGTGCGAATGGCCAGAACGGCGCGGCGCGGGTCGCACCGGCGCGACGGACGACCCTCGCTCGGGACACCCATCGACGGCTAAGACAGGAGTCCTTTGACGACTGTCACGGGAGTCCTTTGACGGCTGTCACAGGGGTCCACATCGACGAGGTCGACGGCAACGTCCGAGTGACGTCTGGACATTTTCTGGAGGCTTTCGTCGCCGTGCGCCCGGTGCATCGAGCCGAAAAGGGATGACGCTGCCGAGTGCCCACGGACAGGTCGCAATCCGCCGTGCTCGCGTACCGTGCAGTCTACGGACCGCCATGCGAATGCACGCAGCAGACCGATCACGACTTCTTTTCGCGAGACTGCTCACTACGGCCAACATTTCATTGTTTCTCGGGAAAAAAAGAGTTGAAGTCTTAACGAAATCTCCCCTTTCGACCGATCTCACTGTGCTCATGCAATCCACTTCTATTCCGGACGGTCCACATACGTTCCGACGTTTTTTGTAGTCGAATTTTAACCCGACTCGGATAAACTTACTTATTAATTTTAGACCAAATTTTTGGAGTAGCATACGATTTAAAAGCCCTCTCCTTGTTCTCTGCTTTCTTCCGTTAAAATCAGTTTTGCATTCGATGAATGCGGACATTTCATCCCGCTTAACGGACGACACCACCGAATGCGATGGCTCCACCTTTGCTCGGCAGAGCAAACTTTAATTAGCCGGTTGGAAAACGCGAGACGATGCGATAGAAACATCGTCCTTAGACGTCATTTCGGCGGCTTCAGAACGTTTAGAGGATGAGGATCGTCCAACATCCGGGACTCGACGAAGACTCGAACTCCATCGGGACCGCGTACGAGGATTCATCCGAAAGATTCTGCCTCGGGGAGTTGGAATCGTTTGGAGGAGGTTCACAGTTCAACCTTTACTTGGCCTTTTCTAAAGCGTCAGCACTTTACGAGGGCGTTTTTTCTTTCTCGGATAAGCGGTATCGGAGGAAAGGTGGATCCGATTGCTAAAATCATGCGAGTCGAATATGGAGCACTAAGAAAATTTAATTTGTAAAAATGTAAAGAAAAATCTCCTCGGTAAGTACCATAAAAGCAAGAACGAATCGAAAGACCCCGTTCGAACGTGTTTCGGAAACGAAGAAGAATTTTTGCAGTGGGATTTATCTTTGCGCTACTTGCCCCATCGGTGGCAGAAATGCCTTCATGTTCAGGGCGAGTAAGTCTCATGT